TCTTTCCCTCTCCCTCACCCCCTTCCTTTCTCCATTCCTCTCCCTTCTAATTTTCCACTTGGCTGGGAATTCTCCAGCAGTGAAAGTTCAGGCTTAGGGGAGGCGGTGGTAGCTGCTTCTTTAGAGAAGATAATCTCATTGGAACCACTGAGTTGAATAATAACCCCTCCAGGGGCCAGGGCCTTTGTCCCCAAGGGCTTTTAGCACCTCTGAACTGGAGCTGGAGGACCAACTGCAGAGAAAGTGGAGGGAGAAGGGGAGGGAAGAAGAGCCTAGGGGGGCCAGACTCCCGTTCTGGGGCCCGGGCTGTGTTCCTGGAGCCTGCTTCCTGCTGGCCACCTGCAGCTCTGCGTTTCCTGGGGGTGGCAATGGTGCTGGCAGGGATGAATGTCTGGAAACTCAAAGCCATATAGCATGCGCTATTTGAGTCCTGCCTGGAAAATGGATGAAGCAGGGTCTTCCACCATGTCCAGGGTGTCCCCACAGTGGATTGCAAGGACGTGCTTTCGGAAGTACCTGGAGCCCCTTTGAAGGAAACATCTAAGCCCCCCGACCCAGGGGTCATGAATTAACCCTTTGCACGTTCCCTAGCTCTTGCCTGACCTAATGGAAAATCATAGTCCCAGAAGAGCAGGAGGCCGTTACCCTGACAGACCCTCTAAGAACTCAGAAGGAATCCATTCTTCCCTTACATTTTCCTATCACTTCGAAGGTCAGTTGTCTGTGCTTTTGAACATTTGCAGCTTCCGCCCTCATGGGCCCTGAGGGATAGTAGAAATGTCAAAACATCCCTGACACTGACCTTAAACTTGACTTTCCACAAAGAGAGCTGAGTTCTCGACACCCTTTGACAGCTAGGAAGAAAGCAGAGCTACAGCCCAGACGACTCTTTTCCTCTTTGCTCCCTCCTGCCATCTGGGGCTCCGCCTCCGCCATCAAGAGGAAAAGTGCTGCAGCCATTGCTGTCTTTTCATCTTTGATTTGCCCCATGGTCCAGTCTGGGAGGAGATCTGTGCTTCTGCATCAGCTGCAGTTTGGAGGGGTTGGGTGGGAAAGCAGAGGAGGGATGGGGTAATACTAGGTTTTGTGGAGGGCTTATTGTGTATGAGCTATGCTCTGTTCTAAATGCTTTACTTGCATCATCTTTTAACCCTCATGATAACCCTATTAGGTAGGTACTATTTTGTTCCCATTTTATAGATGAGAAAACTGAGGCAGCAAAGAGGTTAAGTAATTTGCCCAAGATTACACAGTTAGATAGGCTGTTTAAAATTGTAAGCCACAGGTGGCTTCCCTGGTAAGACCTAAATCTGCAGGAGATGATACCTGTTTAGTTGTGGGCTCTCGGGAGCCATGGAAAGATGCAGCCTCATGAACTCTGGGAGCAGCAAACCGTGCAGATAGACTTTGTCTTGAGATCCCTCCGCCAAGTTCCTTTGTACCTCCTGCAAGAGAGAAGGAGTTGCCTCTTTTCTATCTGGACTCTGTTTGGTAACTTCAGGTGATGTTTGGGCTGAAAGCAGCTTCATTTTTCCTCTCTGCGTAATTTAATCAAAGACATTTTTCAGATCTACTGATTGCTCTTGGAAATAGGAACTTCAAAGTTGGGGAGTCAGTGAATAATTGAAGTCTGTACCAGCTCTCTGGGTCTGCTGTTAATGGGAGTAATAACACTATTAATAGTGATGTCAGTGCAGACACCCTGGAAAAGTCCATAACATTAGCTTAATGGCCAGAGGTAATGAAGTCCTCGCAGAGGAGCTAGCCTGGTAAATTAACTTCCCAGACTTTTAGGCAGATGCCCTTGTTGTCATGGGTCTGCTAGAACAGCCTGAGGGTGCCTTGGAGACAACCACACTCACATCTGACCTTTCACCCTTGGGATGAGATTCCTGGACGGGTCCTGGAGAATTCACAAGTCTCAGTAATATTCACAGTGTTTCCAGTGAGGCAAAAACAGCGATTAGCATAGAGAAGAAGGTTGAGAGGACATTTTTAAATTGCCGCAAGCACAGAAGGGGACGTCAGGATGGCAAGGAAAATGGGTTCGGTCTAGAAGCTTCAGGGAGGTAGAGCTCAGTGGGTGAGAATGGAGGCTCCAGAGTCCATCTGTGTTCATACAGACTCCCTCTGATTAGCTGATGACCTTGAACAAGTGACTAACTGCTCTCTGTAGTTTCCTGATCTGTAAGGTGGGGTTTAAAATGGTTACCTACCTCCCATCATCGCTGGGAGACCTCAGTGACATAAACTGTAAGCCCCTTATCACAGTGCCCAGTAAGAGCTCAGTGACTAGTAGCCATGATTATTTTATTCAGAATTGTGTTTTACTTCTGTATTACACATCCACTTCACTCCAAGGTCATCCTTTCTGTCCATATCTCCCCTTTCTTCCTTTAGTCCACTCCTTCAGTGATTTCTCAGCTAAATTCTCCTCTCAGACCCTCCACTATTAGGCCGTCCCTCCCACCGAGGCCAAGATGCAGTCTCATGAACTCCGGCAGCAGCAAACCATGCAGATGGACCTTGTCTTGAGATCCCTCAACTAAGTTCCTTTGTACCCACTGCAAGAGAGAAGGAGTTGCCTCTTTTCTACCTGGACTCTATTTGGTAACTCCAGGTGATGTGGATGACATACTTCTTTCCCCATGGCTGGGAGGAGAGGCCCCCGCAGGTTTCCTCTGTGCCTTGAGAGTCACCCCGAGAGCAGCTCAGGGTATCCAGGTGCCCCTCTCCCCTCACCTTTTACCCTACCCCTCACCCGTCTGCTTCTTGAGACAGAGGTTCCCTTCCATATCCCTGGCTGTTCCCTTCCCTACTCAGCTCTTTGCCTGGTGCTTCCTCCGCTCCTGCAACAGCCCCTGACATCCTCCCTTCTCGGCAGAGTCTCTCCTCTTCAACCAAAAGAGATCAGCACTCAGGAGGGATTTCCCTGCAGTCCCATCTTACCTCAACATGTCCCTCTGAGGACCCTGCTTTCCCTCACTGCCACCCCACAGCAGAATCAGTAGCCCAGAGGTTCCAAATCATGGCCACTCCGCAGCTCCATGTTCACCAGGCTTATCCAGCTTGGATTAAATACTGTTCCCTGAAAGTCAAATACCTCCGAGCAGTCAACTCCCACTGGAAGGCAGGGCAAGCCCTGGCCCCGGCTGAGAGCTTAAGTGCCTTCCCCTATGTGTGATGCATGCATTTGGGTGACCACCCTGACTTTTACGTGCATCTTTCACAAGCCCCCATCAGTTACGACCGTAAGATCCCAGGTCACCTGGATGTGATCCACTGATGACAAGGCACACTTTGAACGATAATAGGACACGGACACTAGGCAATAGCGAACCTTCTACAGCAGTGATGCTGGGCCATGGAGCTGGGATTCGGATCCAACGCAGCCTGGCTCCAGAGCGTGCTCTGAACTTCTACCCTCGGCAACTTTGATGCCTCCTCCCCTCCCTCCTGCCCGCCTACGTTTACCTTCTGTCTGCTGGGCAGGAGATATGCAGGGGATTCCAAAGTAAGTCAGGCATAGTTTCTTCTTTTGAGAAGTTCACACTTGGTAGGAGAGGGCTGCGCTTAGCCTAATAATTGTCATATAGTCTAAGAAGTTCTAGACGGTGGGAAACACCAAAGTGCTCTTAACTTTGCCCGGGGTGGGAGTGGGTTGGTGGGAAGATGCATTATAGTTGAACCATGTCTAGAGGGACAGGTAGAAGTTGGAATGGGGAAAAATGTGGCGAGAGGACAGTGCAGACAGAGGAGCTGGCGTGCACAAAGCCGAGGAAATCGGAAAGAGGAGATGCGTGGAGAGAACAGTCTCGGTTTGCGAAGCGGGGGGGAGGGGGCTGAGGCTGAGTGGGGAGGGGGAATAGACAGGACTTCCAGCTCTTTCTGTGACTGAGGAGGCCCTGAGGGCACTCTGGGGCGACTCTCGGGGTTTCGCATGTGACAACCAGTGATTGGAATTACCTTCTTTTCCAGTTTGGGCTTGATGGGGGAGGACCAAGCTGGAGGAAGGAAACTAGAAGGTTAGTCCTGGGCACGCTCAGTTCGGACATGTCCTAGGAGCCGCTGGCAATGCCTGACCTCCGCGCCGGCCCCTCGCTGGACCCGCGGTCTCCTCCTGAGTCCCTGATCAGTCGCTCTGTCCTTCCCAGATGCACCCGGAAGGAGCGCTGTGAGCGGTCCAGAGAACCCCGCAGGTTTGCCTCTGAGATGAAGCAGTGTGTCCGGCTGACCGTCCATCCCAGCAACATCTCTGTCTCTCAGTACAACGTCCTGGTAAGGCCGTGGGGCCGGGACCCAGGGACGGCGGAAGAGCCCCCCCCCCCCACCCCCCGCCCAAAAGGGCCTCAGCCCAACACCCCTCAGGAGGGCTGGGCCTAGCTGGCCAGCAAGCCCGCTCCAGAGCAGGGCAGGGGTGTTAGAGAATGTGTCCCCGGGGATGGAAGATGGGGACGTTTGCAGGACTATCGGGGAAGAGGCTTTATGCGCAAGGGGTAGAAAGACAGGGAAAACTGACACCAGAAATGACTGGAAGAGTGACCAAGAGAGGGAAAATGTTGGGAGCTCTATCCTTGTCCTTGAGATGGGAAAGATGTATATGCAGAGGGAGAAAAGGGGGCGGTGGCGCCCATGTTCTTGCTGGGCGCCTGGTGGTTGGTGTTGCCATTTTCCAAAGTTGGGGATAACGGAGGGGAGCCTGACCAGCAGTTCCTCGGGGCCTCCGTCCTGCCCAGGGCCTCTCTCCACCTACAGATCCCCTAAACGTTCTGTTTCCTGGGGCCAAATCCATTCAGATGCTTATTTCTTTTGTCTCTGTCTCTTACCATCCCACCACCTTCTCTATCCTCTCCTGTCATAAATTGGGTCTCTTCTTCTGTATGTCAATATTGCCTCATGCTTTTCTTTCTTCTCTTTCTCTCTGATCTCTCTTGCTCTCCCTCTTTCTTCCTTTATTCCATACCTTCTTTTTCCCATGTCTCTCTCCTCCTCTCTCTCCCGCTGCCTGGCTGTTCACAGCTGGTCCTGGAGACATACAATGTCCCAGAGCTGTCAGCTGGTGTCAGCTGCACCTTCGAGGACCTGTCAGAGATGGACGGGCTGGTGGTAGGCAGTCAGATCCAGTGCCACTCCCCAGCAGCCAAGGAGGTGCCCCGGATCATCACGGAGAACGGTGAGTGGTCCCCAGAGGCAAAGCGGGGTGGCAAGTCCTTCCTCCCACCACCTGGATGATGAGAACTCAGGACAGACACGCGGGATCGAGGGAGCGCACAGGAGGGGAGGGTCAGAGGAAGCGGCGTGCTTTGGTAGGGGTGTCACAGGAAGAGGGGGATGGAGTGTCCCTCCGCTGCCTTTGGAATTGAAACCAGGTGAGCATCCAGGAGTCAACCTCACCCTGGGTGGGGAGCGGTGCCAAGAGGGCGGGAGAGGGAAAGGCCAGCACAGTGGCAGAGTGTGCCGGTCAAGTTCAGAGGTCATGCTGGAGCATGAGAGGGCTGGCATGGAGGGGCACGGGAGGAGGGATGGGGTGCAGGGGTCATCTGCTTCCTTACCCCCTGCCTGCACTGCTGGGTCTCTGACCCTGAACCGTTGCCCCCCACCCCCACCCCCGCCCCACCTCCCCGGAGATTCCTGTTGCTGGCCGGCTGCCACGAGAAGGACAGAGTAGACGGAGGCCCAGCGATGAGATGGACAGGCCGGCCTGGGCAGCCTGATTCCATGTTGGCCCTCCCATTTGGGCTTGTCACATTTGTTCTGAGCTGATTGATTAATGAGCCTCTCAGGGAAGGCACAGAGCAAGGGGCCTGGGGTCAGGGCTGTGAATTAAACATGGGCCCCAGCTCCTCCCTGGTGCCAGCTGAGGATTCCAGGGATGTCTGCTCGAATGGAGCCCACCAGAGGAGGGGGTGTCCTTACAGAGATGGGGAACGAGCTCGTGAGTGCTCACACACCTACATGTAAAACCTCTGGCATAATTTGTGGCAGCATTGCCAAGAGTCTACGTGTTTCTCCTGGTAGCTAATCAATGTGTGTGTTTGTAATTCTGTGAGGGCTGCATGGACATCATGTATGTGAATGCACATTTGAATACCTGTCAGAGTGTGTGTGTGTGTGTGTGTGTGTGTGTGTGTGTGTGTGTGTGTGTAAAGGACCTGGTGAGCAAATGAGAGGTGGGTGCCCGGAATACAGTGTGCAAGGAGAAATAGACCAGAATCACCCTCTGCAGCTGTTCTTGGGGTTGTCCTGGGACCGGGCCCGACTGAATCCAAATCCGGTTAGAGCTGAGCACACCCCCTGGAGAGTGGGCTCCCCTTTGCCAGGGTGCATTACTCTCAGTGGGACCCGACACGGGGCAGTGGCCGTCCCCCACCCCACCTCCACCTCATGGCCGGCTCCGCCCACAGGGGACCACCATGTCGTCCAGCTGCAGCTCAAGTCGAAGGAGACAGGCATGACCTTTGCCAGCACCAGCTTTGTATTCTACAACTGCAGCGTCCACAATTCGTAAGTGCCCCTCCAGCCTCACTCAGCTCCCTGTTTCTGGGGTCAGAGTTCGTCCAAAGATAGAAGACCCCACCACCTTCCCAAGGACTTACCATCTAGAGGCCCTGTAAGGCGACCTCCTTCAGCCCCAGAAGGAGAGAGACTCCCTCCTCTGGCGCCCACAGGGTTAATGGGAAGAGGCTGGAACGGGCAGCGTGATAACCTGTGGGCTGGGGAACTCCAAGTCCCTAGCCCTTACATCTTCTCTGGCATAAGTCTGCTAACGTGATTCACTTTCCACCATCTGTTGAGGAGGGGGGTGCTTATTACCTGAAGAACAGAGCAGCCAGCACCCCAGGTGAGAAGAGGGGTCTGGGGAGGGAGAGAAGGCCCCACGTGTGTCCAGGCAGTGGTCCAACAAGTCACCTGAATGAACGACAGTCCCCTGCAGGCTGGGTCGGGACTCAGGCTGGCAACGGTCAGAGGTGGGCTTCTAGCTCTGGCTCCGGCTCCAGCTCTGGCTCTGTTTGACTGAAGCCTCCACTTCCCGGGGGATGCCACAGATGATGGAGGCTTGGGCTCTGGAGTCAGACCAGCTAGGAAAAGTAACCCTTCTGTGCCCCAGTATCCTCTGTAAATGAGGAAATAGTAGTCCTCCTCCTGGGACGTCACCCAGATATTTAACAGCTGACATGGCAAGGGCACGGTCCCCTCGGCTGGGACATCGCTGCTTGCTGCCTGCTCATCAGCCCTGCTCAGCCCACAGGATGGCTGCGAGGGCTAGAAGAGCTATTACAAAGAGAGCGGTTAGAGCCATATCTGGCCGACTGTTTAGGCACTGTACATTTTACTGGTACTATATTATTATTTCCTCTCCAAAATGATGGGCCTGGATAATACTGAGAAGGTACAAACCTGTTTTTCACCATAGAAACCTTTCTTCAACCAAAATTAGGTATGAAAGCCCAATATACAAAATAGATGGAAGCAGGAGATGGTTGAGGGTCGAGGGGACCTGGAACCCTTCTGTCTAGGAGCCCCACACATCTCACACAGTCTCCAAAGAAGCTCCACGGAACCCCCAGGGTTCCATAGAGCACAGTTTGAAAGCCATAGAACCTGATCTCAAAAAGCTTTGCTTGCTTTAATATAATGTTCTGTTTTCTTCTCCATATAGGACAAGCTAGCTAACATAACCATAGATATTTGGGACTCTAGGCTGGTAGGCTCTGTCTGGTTATGTCTGTGGGTCCAGAGCTGTGGCTCTCTTTGGCACCCCAAGTAAGAGGCAGCCAGTCCTCCCGGCCAAATTGCTTCGACATTGGAATTCTCTTCCTGCTTCTTCCCACAGAGCTTGCCATGTCTTTACCACGTGGTGACCTAATCCCTCACTCCCCTTTTGCCCCTCTAAGAAAGTAGAATAGGAAGATGAAATCATATTTGAAGTTTCCATTCAGTCCATAAAATGATTTTAAGCATCCTATATGCAAGACAGTGTGTTACTCATTAGACAGGAGGATCAAAAATTAATAAGATGCAAAGACTCGACCTCTACCCCCCAAGAATCATGGCCTAGTGGACCAGTGGATGAACAGGACAATGAATAAGTAAAATATAATACAACAAGACCAGTACTTTTCCAGAGACAGAAACAACAGGATGAATAGGATGAGGGCCCCAATGAGACCAACTCTCCGTTGGTCAAAGAAGGAAGAGGAAATGATGAGGTAGAGGAAATGTTACTCCAGGTAGAAGGACAGCATGGGGAGAGCATGGCCTGTTCTTGGCTGAAGCACCAGACACACGTGGGGACAGTGGATCTAGACACCACAGAGGCCTTGGCCTGAATGGCAAGGCATTTGGGTTCGACCCTTTGGAAGAAGGGAACCATGTTGGGTTTTAAACAGGAAGTAGCTTTTATAAAGTTTCCTGTGAATGGTGAGTAGAGGTAGGGTTGCCAACTCTGCCCATCACACTGAGGGGGTAGCCTCAGGACCTTCCTCTGCAAAGGTGTGTCCGTGTGGGTCCTTGTCAGCAGAGACCCTGGAGTCAATTTGAATTAAAAGTCAATTTCACTGTTAGTCCTAACTCTTATGGGTTCTCTGGATGAGCCCCTCTACCCCAGACTTCATTGTTTCCCAATTCAGCAAAAGAGGGCGCCATCCTATAAAAATGGAGGGTGGTTGATGAGGCTCTTGGGGGATCGGGGTTGTCAGCTACCTGAGTGCGGGCGGAGGCCAGAGACTCTTGGCTTCCTGAGGACTTGGAGAGAAAAGGGATGGATTTTTACAAGATCTACTCTTCCTGAGTGTTTGGCGGTGGTTTCTCCTACTATGAAAACATGTTTTGCTAGGCCCTAGAGTCCTAGGCTTTCTGCTTTTGGTTCATGCAGGTTCTGTGACGTGTGCCTCTTCCTCCTCTGTGCCCAGGTGCCTGTCCTGCGTGGAGAGCCCATACCGCTGCCACTGGTGTAAATACCGGCATGTCTGCACCCATGACCCCAAGACTTGCTCCTTCCAGGAAGGCCGGGTGAGGCTGCCTGAGGTAGGTCCCGCAGCCAGAGCCGTGAGTGCTGCTTTCTGTGAGCGTGGGGCACGCAGGTAGGTCTTCCCTTAAGAAGAGAAAACAAAGGCAAATCCCGCAGGACCACCCCCTTGCTCCCCAAGCCCGACTCTTAAGGGACCACTTCACAAAAGCAGTAAATAAGCAAAGCTGTGAGCTCTGGGTCAGTCCTGGGGGTTCAGTTACCAGACAGAGGCGCATTCCAGGTCACTCCGTCCAGCAGGACCCTCTACACACCAGATGAGTTCCAGAACAATCCCAGAGAGGTGTGTGTGTGTGTGTGTGTGTGTGTGTGTGTGTGTGTGTCCTAGAAATAATTGTAAGTACACAGCAGGACTGTGTACAGACTGCTCAGCGGTCCCTCAGAGCACTGTCCACAGAGCAGAACTGAGATCAAAGAAGTCAAGTTGAGTAAAACGGAGAGAAAGATAAGAATAAGAGGGTGGTCACTAACCTGAGGGTGGTTTTCAAAGTGTGGTCCCCAAATCAGCAGCATCAGCATCTTCATCACCTGGGACCTTGTCAGAGATGTAAAATGTCCCTCCCCATCCTCTCCGCCAGCTGGATGACCCCTCGGGGCTGCGGTCAGCACTGTGCGATTCTGCTGCACAGTCCAGTCTGCAAATCACTGACACGGAGTCAGCCTCCGTGGCTAAGACACTGTTTCTGTTCCGTCCTGATCTTTAGTCTTATCCCTGAAAACTCTTCATCACCATAATAGAAATACTCTATGCCTATGTTGCTTCCTCTCTGAGATTGTAAGTTTATGGGCAAAGACCTCAAGGATAATGGGCGTAAACACATTTTGGAAAAGTCTGCTGTTGTTCAAACATTATGGTGCTTGTGTGACTCCAGCCGTTGGGCCAGTAGTTCTGAACAGAGTGGTTTAGAATGCTGTTGCTGAGAATAGGAAGATAGAGAGGTGATATATCTATATCTATATCTATATCTATATCTATATCTATATCTATATCTATCTATATCTGTATCGTGTTGGTTAGACCCCACTGAATGCAAGGACAGGGCACTCTCTCGGCCAACGCTGGACTCAGGCTCCAACGTCTCTCCTACCCCCAAGTCTTGCACCTACCTTCCAGCCCCCTTCACACAGCCCCGCAGGTGTCATAACCATGTGGCAAAGCCATAACTGAGAGCAGGGAACTGTCCAGGTGCAGAAAGCATAAGGGCTGTTAGGGGGACTGGATGGGGCGTGGTGAGAACAGAGAGACCCACCCCCAGACTCCCACTAGGAACCCTACTAGGAACCCTAACTTAGGCCAAACCCTTAATGGCAGGAGGGAAGCTGTCTTGTCTCTGAAAGGGAGGAGCAAAGGACACCTCACCACCAGCATCTGCTGCGTTGAGCTCTCCTCACCCAGGAAAAATGACTGAAGTGTGTCTGGCAATGAGAAATTTCCAGGCCCAGATCCCACTTTCCCAAGCTCTGGTGGCTGAGCAGGAGTTCTCGGGGTAGAGAATGGGCAGAGCAGTCCTTTGCAGAGGGAAAGGCAAGGAATGGTGAGGTTGTCAAGGGGAGAGAACGCTCCCAATTGGGTGGCGGGGACAAGAGGGGCAAAAAAGACAGGAAAAGCAGAAATTTGAGAACCTCATTCAAGGTAATTAAATGATTAGGAGCCTTTGAAATCCACCAGATACCTCAGGTGTCTCTGCTTTCCTTTTATTCTTGGGCCTCTCCACACAGGAAATCCCTGCTAGATACACCAGCCTGGAAAGCTGGAGAGAGCCTGAGAACCTCTTTCTTTCTGCTCCCATCAAGTCACTTGTAGGTTTCAGACCAGAACAAGAAGAGGCTGTGGAAGTCTCTAGACACAGGCCCTCTGCCTGTGCGTTGGGGTCTGTCTGTGGCTGGGAACGGCTGCTCTGAATTTGTAATCCGAAAAAGAGACCCAGACCTAGATTATCCCTTCATAGGGAAAGGGAGAAAAGGGGTTATGTCTTGGCTTTAAGTAGGAATGTGAATCTAATTTTTAATGTGTCAATTCTCTGCTTCTTTTTTTTTTTAACTAAGACAAAGTGGAGTTAAAGCTAATAGGACAGACAGGGGTCTGACAGCCGAGGGGCACACCTCGGCATGAAGACCGTGATGAAAGGCTGTACATTCTTGGGACTTCCCTGGTGGTCCAGCAGTTGAGACTTGGAGCCCCCAGTGCAGGGGGCCTGGGTTCAGTCCCTGGTTGGGGAGCTAGATCCTGCACGCATGCTGCAACTAAGAGCCCACACGCGCAACTAAAAGATCCCGCGTGCCCCAACTAAGACCTGGCGCAGCCAAACAAATAAATAAAAAAAATATTTTTTAAAAAAGAAATTTAAAAGAAGGCTATCCATTCTCCTCAATCCCGGGCCTTTGTCTTGGGGTGCAGGGTCAGAAGCAGAAGAAGGGCTGGTTGACCCACCCAACCAGGGGCTAAGAGCCCAGGAAGCACCTCTTCTTATGTTGTTCAGAAACCTACAAGTAACTTGATGGCAGTGGAGACAAAGAGGTTCTCAGGCTCTCTCCAGCTTTCCAGGCTGGTGTATCTGGCAGGGATTTCATGTGTGGAGAGGCCCGAGAATAAAATGAAAACAGAGACAGCTGAGCTCGCTGGTGGATCTCAAAGGCCCCTAATCATTTCATTACCTTGAAGGAGGTTTTCAAATTTCTGCTTCTTCTGTCTTGTTTGCCCCTCTTGTCCCAACTTTCTTTCTTTTAAACATGTAAAAGCAGCTGGCATCTGCTGCTCAGAAAGAGGAAAAAAACCTAGAAAAGAATAAAACAATAGCCCACCACGTTTGCCAGTGCAATTCAGGGATCTCCATACAAGAATAATGTCTTCAAGTGCCCAGACTGCAAGCCAGGCACAGCACCCATGTGTACCTGGTGGTGGCAGAGGTCACTGGGGATTCACAGAACCTCAGAGGGTGTGGTGCCAGGGTCCCCAGAAGAGGAAGAAGCCTGGAGGAACGTGACGGATGGAGGGATGTGAAGGACAAACCCACCGCTGTGGCCCCCCCGCCAACTCTTTCCATTTTACATGAGCCCTTTTACTGGGAGCCTGGCAAGCCATCACAGTGACAGGTATCTTGGAATCGCCATGCCTCCCTTATCATTTCACTGAGTGGAATTAACTTTAGCTTCTCTTTTTCTTGGATGCTTATTTATTGTAACAGAAGGAAGTCTTTTTTTTTTTTTTTTTGTGGTACACGGGGCTCTCACTGCTGTGGCCTCTCCCGTTGCGGAGCACAGGCTCCGGATGCGCAGGCTCAGCGGCCATGGCTCACGGGCCCAGCCGCTCCGCGGCATGTGGGATCCTCCCGGACCGGGGCCCGAACCCGTGTCCCCTGCATCGGCAGGCGGACTCTCAACCACTGCGCCACCAGGGAAGCCCGAGAAGGAAGTCTTAAGGCTGTACTCCTGGTCCACAGTTGGAGGCTGCATTCCACCCAGCTCAATAATGGACCATTTTGAATATAACACAGAGGAGAGGCCAGAGTCGACCACCTCATGATGGTTGTTGTAGCAGCGTCTTCCTGGAGATAAGGGGAAAAGAAGTAAATACATATTTGTGGACTGTTGGCTGAGTCCAGCCATTGCAGGTCAGCAGAAGAAGGTCATATTGTCCTCAGAGCTTAAAAATAAAGCCCTGGCTGCTAACAGAAATATAATGATCTTTTTTTAATGTCGTTGCTTTGTTTTCTATATTTTTGTTTCTGGGAAGAGCTGGTAACAGGAATAAGGGGTAACAAAGAAAATTACACCTCTGGAAGGTGACTTTGTAGAAGCCCCAGGCACAAGTGTCCCCTCTCCATGCCAGGGGAAGAGCTTATTCATGGCATGATACTCTGTAGCATTGTTACAGGTCACCTCTCATCCTACATTACCCACTTCTTGAACATTTCCCATATGCGGGGCATTGTGGGAGGTTTAAAGGTGTGTAAGGGATCTGTAGATCTGTATTTAGAGATGTGTAAAATGGGACCATTGGTCCACATGATTGCTGAAGTTCTGTAATTACCAGTGGAAATAATCTGGAGAGCACCAAAGAGAAATCCACGCCCAAGAAGTGGTCTTACTGGGTGACTGTCCAAGTGTGGCCCAGGTCTCCCAATTCTGCCCAATAGGGGGGCTCACACAGTCTCAGGCCTGGAGCTCCCCTGGACTTCCAGACCCAGACTCACCCTGGGAATGAAGGGGAGACCCAGGCCCAGCGATTCTCTGGAAGTCCCTAGGTTTTCATTTGCTTTCAACCTTTGAGTGTGGGGATGCAGACAGAGGCCTTTTGTTAGCCAAGAGGGAGGCTGCCAGGTGGCCCTTCAACTCCCCAGCAGCATCCTGTATCCCTAGGAAGGCTTTCATCCGGGCGTCTTCCAGTTTCAACACTGGCTTTGTTGACTATCACCAGGCATGTTGAATTACCTCTTTTTTTTCCCCTGAACAAAGAGTGCATTCAGGTGAAGCTATTGGTCTGGAACAGAGAACTGGTCAATCACTGTTGTTATTATATTAATGGCAAGTATTCTCGAGTAATTACAATTATTAGAAATAGAACGCCCAATAACATGTGTTGTTTATAGTCACTATATTCCAGTTACAAGGAATGATTTTGTTTCAACTAATGATGACATTGTGATAACAGCCCTGGGTCTTTAGATCAGCTGCCAGATCCTGGGTACCAAAGAGAAGAGGGAGAGAAAGGCGAGGGAAGGCTGACGTGGGACCACAGAGTCTTTTCAGTCCTGTTCTCCCAGCATCAGCCGAGACTCCTTGCTTCCCACTGGAATGGACTTTCCCCGGGGCAGCCATGCACAGGGCCACGCTCTCACCTCCACCAGGCGGGAGGGACCACTGGTCTCCAAGTGGCTTTGGAATCCCCAGGCTCCTCTGCTAGGTGACCTGAGCCCCCCATCAGACCCACACACTTAATAACAGTGATCCTTGGCGAACAAAGGCGAGCTTCCATGGAAAAGCAAATCCATTGACAAGA